CGGAACCACCGCGCTTGCCATCACTCTCCGCAGTTCCGCTCGCTCTTCGGGCTGCAACTCCATCACAGATATCTGCAGCCCGAATTGCGAGAGTTCCAGCTGGTTCATGGACCTTCCCTTCACACACTGCGCTATTGTTTTTGCTGCTAGGTTGGACACAGAAATGCGGCACCACCGCTGTCGGCGCTCTGCTGCATCGATTGAGATTCGCCACCAGCACCGAGGTCCGACATGGCACTCCAAATGCTGCTGTTCGCTGTTGTGCTGCGTCCAAGAATATGTCTATAAGCCTTTCAATCGCTGTGAGCTATCTGGCTTGTGGTAAACTATTTCATATTTTGCGCGAGAGGAAGCCCATTTCTCAACTCTGAGCCAGGTTTCTTATGTAAAACCAGCTTTATCTGTAGTTCAACACACGAAAATGCTGCCATTCCAAGCAGATTAGCTTGTAAAACGGTGTCACTTGAGCAGACCACCCAAAAAGCGAACATAGTTAAGACAATAACAACAACAAGAAGTGGCTTTGATTTTTTCTTTTGTCAAAAGTCATGTTGTTCCCCAAGCAAAGCCAGGAAACATCCATAATTTCGGTAAATTCCATAACTTCGTCAGAATAATTTCTGGCATGTTAAAGTTCGTAAGTGTGCTAAGTATACTTAGATCTTCAAGACATTCTCATAAACGCTACAGAACTTGTTAGCTTATTGCACATAATCGTCCACTTAGCGAAATGTTTACCCCAGTTAGCCAGGTGACTAAGTTCAGTGTCTGTAGGGGGCCAAACTTGTAGACACAACGGACAGGCCCCTGGGAGCCGATCTTAGAATTTTTGGCAGTTTTGTTGGTTTTCGATGCCGGCATGTTGTGATACTTGTGCTGTGCCCCACGCTGTACAGCCGTCATGTGCTGCTTTGTACAGTCGGCGCGTGAACACGCGGAGCAACAGTCTTGCAGGGCGCACTCCTGCAAACCGAGCCCAGCAATGGTTAGTGCTCAGCATGGTGGGCAGGCTTGGTGACTCTTGAAAGCTTGCGGACTTTTGCGCCTGGAAGATGCTGGAAGCCTGCGAACCCGAGCCATTTTGAGTCGGCTCAGGTTCGTTGCAACACCTTGTAGCACCCTGTGTCCCCACGATTCCGGCTTTAGGCCCCTACCTCCGGCCCAGCCATTAGTTCGGCACCAGTTAGGCCTGCGGCGACACATGTGACACACACAGACACACACACACACATATCCATCTGCAATCTTGGCAAAGTGCATGTAGTAGGTGCTCCGAGTTACTGCTCGGCTTGTCGAAGCATTGACGCATGTGGAAAGTTCTTTGGCCAGCTGAGGCTGAGGCTCCCTTGTTGATTTCAACTCACCTCAGTTTGTCACCTGCAAAAGCACCACTTCTTCAAAACAGGTTGGTGCCGATGCAGCAGAAAAGGCACCTTTGGTTGCAGTATTCAGGAGCAAATGCAGTTTTGCAGTCTTCGATCACCAGGCAGAGCTCGAGGCAGTCACGTGCAAAGACATGAGATTGCTGGTTGAGCAGGCACCCGCGCTTCCAAAACGCTTTGCATCTGAAACCCTCAACTTCTCAAAATACAATGCTGAGAGTGCTGGCGTGCTGCAACATCCAGTCCTTGAAGGAGTTCCAGAAGTTCCGCGTCGTGCTGATGAATGACCTTCAGCATTTGTTGTGTGACCTCAAGGCCCCAAACAACCGAGACTAGATGCTCTTTGAAAGCATCCCATCCCATGCTGCGTTTATCCTATGGGCAAGGTTCCACTTGGAAGCTGCGAGTCACCGACTCGATGCGACGAGGCGAACCAGACACGGCTCTCAGATCTTACCGTGGATGCATGGTGGAGTCAATGGAGCCGGTCACCCGGACTAAACTACCAAAAATTACACCCTCAGAATACTCTGACTGACCTGAAGAGATCGTCTGGAGAGTCTGCCTTGTCAGGCTTGTCAAGCTCGGAGGTTTAGCGGTTGCCCTGTCAGCTTTGTGGATGCTTTGGCAGATTTTGGCAGGAAAGCTTCTGCAATCTCAGGGAAGGCAGGGGCTTTCCCGCAAATTGTTCTTGCCCGCCTGGCGAAGAGAGCAGGTTCCCCGAACGGCTCCCCGGAAGCACGCAAGAAGCGGCGCAGGAAGAAGGCTGGAACCGGCATGTTGGTGAACCTTGTTGCCGAGACATCTGTGAGCAAATGTGCTGTCAGATGCTGTCAGCCTGGTGAAGGTGTTGAAGGTGGTGAAAGTGCAGACGGTGCAGCACCACCACCTGGACAGCCCTAGTCAACATAAGTTCGAAAAAAATGGTCCCCCCCACCCTCGGGTGGGTGTTCTTTTTGGGTATGTGTGTTTTTTGATTTTTTGTTTTTGGGTTTTTCTTTTGAGGTCGGCCCATGTCAGTCAGGCAGCTAGTGGCTCCACGCGCTCAGTCAGTGGGGCGGTCAGTCAGTCGGCTGGTTGGTCGGTCGGTTTGCGTACCCAGCACCGGCCAGTCAGTCAGTCAGTCGGTCGTTCGGTTCGCGAGCCTGCCGGTCAGTCAGTCAGTCGGTTGGTCCCGCCGGCCTTTCAAGCAGTCGGTCGGTCTGTTGGTCGACGTTCGTTCGCCTGCCCCCCGATCGGCCACTCAGTCTTTGCGTCCGCCGCCAACTACCCGGTTGCATTCCGTGATAGGTCAGGCTTGGGCGTGTGAAGCTCCTTCAAGGGTGCAGACATAAATAAAGGCGCATGTTTAAGATATATGATGAACCGAAATCGCCACAGGATGGGTTTGCTTAAGATGTATCGTGAAGCTGAATCTCCAAATGAGGGGGCCTGTCTCAGATATGGGATGAACCGGAATCGCCAAAAGAGGGGGGGTGTTTAAGATACAACTTTAACAAGTTTAATCATATGTATATGAGTATGACTATGTGCGAGTGTATATCTTTATGTTTGTGTATGTTATGCGTGGATTCTCAGGTGATCCTAAAACAGAACAACTAAGTACCAGCTTACTAAACGAAAGTCCAACACCCCTACGAACTCAGGCGGCTCGTCCCGTCACATACGGGACAAAGCTCTGCGTATGACTTCAGGACGGTACAACACACTGCACCGCGTCCATCTACAGAGACCTCGCGAATGTCATCAAGCAGCAGACGCTTGAGCAAAGGATGCCCCAAGCCAGAATCATCGTGCTGCACCTCGTTGCCGAGCCCAGTGGCCCCATCTGTTTGCTCGAACAACCCGCGGACACACGTGCCAGTACGATCACTTTGCAAGCAATACCTGAGCTTGCATGTCAATGCAACTTTCTGCAAGCTGCCGGCTTCGATCAACGACCGAATCAACGATTCCAATCCGCATGGTACGTCCTAGGACCGCGTCATTCGCAGTGGCTGCTATACCAGCCGCAATACCAACACAACCACCGACCGTCTTGTACGAAGGCACGGTCCGCAGTAGTTTGCAACTGTTGTAGTCCAACAGTGCACGGCGACGTTCACGCGCATATTGTCCCGCAGACTCCGAAGTCAACCTGAAATGGCAGCATGTGTTTCTCGCAAGGCTATCATGCAACGCATTCGCCTCCGGCAGCTTGTCAGTCCCAGCGCGGATAAATGAAGAAGGCACAACGATGTCGCCGCCAAGGTCGTGAAGCTCTGTGAACAGCATGCTTCCATGTGTCATGCATGGAACAACAGCAGCACCTGTAGCAACGGTACTGCAGAAAGGCTTCCACTTACCGACATACGGGTCGCGCAGTCTTGTTCCTTGTTCCAGTGGCATCTGCGTCAAGTCGAGACCGGAAGTCAGTGTCGCGCAGGTATGCTCTGCCACTTGCCTTATGAAGGACTTCTCGGATGTCAGGTCGATGTATGCCCGGTGTTGTAAGACCAGGCGCAGCTCTCGGAGTGAAACCCTTTCCCCATGTTCCAGGAGCTCATAGACAGCACGGCCCACCATGGTTGATGTTAAAGGCGTTCCCTTCCCCATTTGGGGCGATTCTCCGGGAATTGGGGCTACCGACATTCCTGTCCTTGCAGGCCATTCGAGCCTTGATGTACATGTCTACGTATATGTAAATGTATATGAGTGTGTACATGTACTTGTTTTTGCCTAGGTACATGTGAGTGTATAGGTATAGGTATATGTATATGTATATACATGTGTAAATGTATATGTATATGTATATGCATATGTACGTGTATATGTACATGTATATGTGTATGTATATGCATGTGCAATTGTGTATGTCCTTGTTTTCAGCTATGTTTTTGTGTTTGTATATGCACGTGCCTATGTACAATATTTCCAAGCTGTTATCATCATGACAAACGTTAAACCCTTGTCAGGAACTTCACACGTCCAGAGCTTGAGCTGTCACGGAATGCAGTCGGGTAGACCTTGGGCGGACCGGACTGACGGCTATACGGCTATGCGGCTATACAAACTTGAGTGACGGAAAGAGGGCCGAAGACCATTCGGCCGAAAACAATCCCGGCGACTCTTGCAGTTTTTGTATATGGACCGACACGAAAACCAAAAAAAAGCACTCAAGAAAAATACACCCAAAAAAATTGGTTACCCCTCACTATCTGGGTGCTACAGTCGACAGAGATCCAGTGTGGCCGAAGGATAATGATGCAGACACCGTGCCAAGCTCTGCAGTGGCTCGAGATAGACCCTCAGCACGCGAGGACCGGTCTTTTTCTCTAGGCATGGTAGGTGTTCTGTGCCGTGCCTCAGCGGTTTCAGCAGTTGTCTCCTGCGAGGCCAAGCCGGACATCACCCAATCTGCCACTTCCCTGGAAGACGAGTACGAAGCGGACTGGGCGAAGCATTTGCCTAAGTGGAGATGACGGGGAGCGGACGGCGTGGCTAATCGAATGCGCCTTTGTCAGGCTCGGGGATGAGACCGCCGCTGAGGCGAAGGGCACATAGCGGCATGCACAGTGCGGCACAGTGGCATGTGGTTGATGTCTCTGGTGTTCGTTGCTTCCGCAGGGGAAGGCTTTGATGTCCATGAGCGTGGCGGATGCCCCATCACAGGCGCGGCTTGGCGCCTCTTGCCTCTACATCACAGTCAACGTCACATGCCACCGCTGCAGCACAGTATTGCACAATTGTTGTCCAATGGTTCAGGGCCCGAGTGACGATTGCCATCCAATGGCTCCCACGCTTGAGTGCCTTGGCCACAGAAGATGAAGGCACCAAACAGTTTCGCCAACTCTGTAGCCGCCATTTCTGGGGTTGGAGTTGCATCATGAACCGTGGACAGCGATGAGTGGACCAGCGCTCCACTGCTGAAAGCGTGCTGCAATCGTTGGAATCGCTGCTGTGTTGTGTGTCGGACAGGTCCAGAGGGTTCCACAGTTGACAGTTGTGGTCGCGCCGTAGTACAAGTGCAGACAAGTGCAGCTTTGGAATCAACTGTTTTTTGGAGAATCGGACGGCCCGACGCTGGGGGGTGAGGCTTCCCACCGCCAAAGCAGAGACAGCTGGCAAGCCCGTCCTGGAGACGTGTGTGTTGGATAAGGAGGCAAGCGCCGTGAGTGGCGGGGCTACGTCTTGAGTGGGGAGGGTTCAGCTTTGTTTTGGCCGTACGTGGCAGGTCAAGAAACGGCTCGAATGTGAGAAATGTCTGCCATGCGCCGAGCCGCTCGTAATGCGGAAAACGCAGCAGAACTTTCATCAGAACCTTAGAGCCAGTAGGCTTGGTGACTCTTCACAGCTGAGGAACTTCGTGGAGATTTGTACATACCTTCCGATCGGTGACCTGCTATCACTTCGCGCGGCGTCCAGGAACATCATCCCAACTCAGGCCGGGAGGTCAGACATCACACTTGAGCACCATTCAGATGTCCCCACCCTCGGTGTGGCGCTGATACTGTAGATGACTAAACTCTTCTCCTCGGGTCTACTCCTCGTTCATCCCTGGAGTGCCAGAGCGTCCCTGGAGTGTCCAACCCCACAGTGTCCCTGAGAGTGTCCCTGGAGTGCCCAACCCATCCCAATCCCATAGTTCCCCTAGAATGCCCAACCCCAAAGTGACCCTGAAGTGCCCAACCCCAAAAAATTCCAAATCTGTAGGGCGGGCATGTTCGAAGTAAAACAGTTTAAATTGGTATGTCCTGGATTGTCCTGGTATATTAGCCTGAGGCTTATGTGGCTCACATGATGCTGCGGCTATCCTTGTTGGACCCATCGAAGAGCCCGGTGTCAAACGTGGGTTATATGCTGGCCTTGACGGACGACCAGAAGAGGATGCTGAAAGCATTCAAAAGAGAGTTCGAACATCGTCGAAAGAGACCCTCGACATGAGCGGCTAAGTTTGTTTCAGAGATGCGCAGAGATTCTGTTTTGCTAACTGCCAAGGCCTCCTTGCTTTGGTGATGCTGAGCCGCTTTTTCTTCACTGACTCTCCGATGCAGCTCCTGCAGCTCCTGCTGAGCATCCTCCGGTGCTTGTCCCCACAAGGCTCTGAACATGAGGAAACGCGCGCAATGAGGGAGGCTGGTGCTCTGCATCTGCTGAAAATCCTTGGAAAAAGCCTCGACATCGATCCGGATACTGTCCTGAAGATGCGGGACTTGAGCAATCCACACTAGCGGAGCGGGCTGCTCATGGAAGATGGCATGGAGGGTCAAGGTGCAGGCCCGCCTTTAATGCCGTGCTTCGTGTTCGGTGTTGCAGGCTTGAGGGATTGCAAGCAACGAACCTCACTCAGGAGCTAGACAGTTTCACACGTATGGTTCAAACGCCCTCCATATATATCCCGCCAAAAAATTAATTCATATTATAACATCATAATATGAACTAATCCGCCTCCTGCATTCTCATTTTGTCCATATACTTATTCGTTGTCTTAGGTCTGGCAAAGTGACATTTCAGAACATCGCAATCACAAACATCACAGCCAACCGCCAAAGAATTTTACACTTGCTTTTCTTCCCTGTGCCTCTCGCGATAATCCTTACGCTGCTCCATCCGTTTCTCCTTATTCATTTCCCTTTACAACTTCATATTTCAATGCACCGCCTACGCGACATATAACCTTCATCAAATTCCTCAACCTTCCGATTTCGCCGACACGTAGAACAGTTTTTCCTAGGCGCCAATTCATTTACACACACTCTACACATCTCCGCATCCGCTTCAAAAAACTCATCTGCTCGTCTCCTCTTACATCTCATACAAAGTTTTCTAGAATTCGCCATGCCTAATAATACTACCTTCTCTTTAAGACAAAAACGCCACAATATCCAACCAAAAGACCTTACCAATTATGATATACCCACTGCACCAAAAACCGTTACCAAAAAACCCTCCAACCCCAACCCCACCCCCCCCATCCGCGAACCTAGGCGTGAACCTTATTTAATGTTCATAATTAGTTTTCGTAATTAATTTATTTTGAAAACTAACGTGAAACATATTATAGATATCGCTGTTTTCATCAAAAAACTGCTCCATCTGTTCATAGAGTTTTGCACCTTTACGTTTCAAAGAAAATATCCTATCTCTGTGTCTAGACCTTCTCTTCTTCAATATCTTTAATTTCGTCAGCCATGGCCAACATTTCCGCATCTATCTCGCATCTCTTGCCACCAGCCATCATTGCAATATTTAAGCAAATGTTCTCAGGTAGTGTTTTTGTGAACTGGTTTTATCTAATCAGTAACTAATGATTGGAAGTATGCTTGGTGTTTATTGGTTCGTTCGTGTCTTGCCTTATGGCAGAGACTATATGTTGAACCACATTCGCATTGACAGTTCTTTGGCTGTTTATGATATCTTTCCAAATGTGTGTTTCTTAATTTGTCTCCGTATTTCTCTCGGTATGTTTTTGACTTTCATTTACCCGTTCAGGATATTTTTCGCGATAGTTGTGCCTGCGCTCGTCCGTTTTCTGGGAAATCTGCCCTCGACATATTCTTATTTCTTCCTGCAATGTTTTTATTCAGTGTTGCTGGTTTTCTAATGTATTCGCATTCTTATTCCCTTAACTCTTCCTTTGGGGAGACGAGCAGATGAGTTTTTTGAAGCGGATGCGGAGATGTGTAGAGTGTGCGTAAATGAATTGGCGCCTAGGAAAAACTGTTCTACGTGTCGGCGAAATCGGAAGGTTGAGGAATTCGTGTAGGCGGTGCATTGAAATATGAAGTTGTAAAGGGAAATGAATAAGGAGAAACGGATGGAGCAGCGTAAGGATTATCGCGAGAGGCACAGGGAAGAAAAGCAAGTGTAAAATTCTTTGGCGGTTGGCTGTGATGTTTGTGATTGCGATGTTCTGAAATGTCACTTTGCCAGACCTAAGACAACGAATAAGTATATGGACAAAATGAGAATGCAGGAGGCGGATTAGTTCATATTATGATGTTATAGTATGAATTAATTTTTTGGCGGGATATATATATATATATATATATGGAGGGCGGTTGAACCATACGCGTGGAACTGTCTAGCTTCAGGAACACTGGGACTCGGGAGTCTAGCATCAAACTCCTCCGGAAACCCAAAATCTTGCCTCTTTGCAGCGGTTGAACCTTGAACCACACACGGGTAGCACAGCTTATGTTTATGGTTACAGAGTTACAGGCTCTCGAGGGGCCGTCCGCTTTAACTTAACGGGGAGTTTCGCACTGTTTCAGAGTCTCCATGTGTGTTGGAGGGATTCGGTGTGCAGCAGAAGTTAATCGAAGCTGTTGCGTTTTGGGGTGACAGGGTGTGCGAGAGCTGTTACACCGGTGTTATGTTCTTTGTTGGTCGTCCTCTCAGCTGGACCGACGACGCAAAATATCACCGCACTAATAGAAGAGTCTCCGATGGCGGACGCGCGCCAGGAGGACTCGAATCGAGGCTTCTACCGGCGGGCAGCCCGGCCTCGGCCCCAGGAGTTTCTCTGCCAGGCCTTTTTGGCAGAGACTCTCCTTTCCCTTCCTCAAAGACGCAGCTACATGGCGGGAGCGAAGAATGGCCTGAAGAGCCCTTGGTGGCGCCGGCCGAACTCGTTCAGGGCTCTGCTGAGTCCGCTTTCAAATGGCTCTATGAGCGAGTTTTGGGCGACTAGTCGCATGTGGCTTGAAAATATACCGTGTGCCTGCACAGATAGGTCGTTCGTTGACGAGCCACAAAGCCTTGCCGCTGCATTGTGAAGGTTTTGAATGCCTGCGTGCGCGCCGCGTTATTCAGCTCGTCGTTGGGTCGTAGCTTATTTAGTTTTGCCAGATCTGGGCAATGACATTTGCCAAAGGCCGCCAGACAAGCTTCTCGCTGTCATGATGTGCGACTCCGACTTGCCCGCAAGGCAGACAGATCCGAGGTCAGATTTGTGAGGCAGGCAAGAAGCAGCACCAACCACTTGGAACAACTTGTGTTGACACCCGGGTTCCAGGTGCGAGAATGCTTCGCTGGCTATTGCGTTGTCACGGTTGGGCATGAGAAGGTAGAGGCGACGGGGGAGTGACCTGTGAAGAGTGAATTAGTTCTTCGAGATTGGGCCTGGTCTGAGTGCAAGCAGAGTTTGCAACTACCCGACAACTACCCCCCCCACCCCCGCATCTTTCCCCCCAATTTTCATCCGACGCCTTGCCCATCTCCCTATCCCAGACCAAGCAGTGATGTGCACGCTTCACGATTTAGGGTTTAGGTTTTGGGTACACCCTGGTCAACAATGCTACCACGCTTGTGTTAGTCAAAGGTCGGGAACACGCCCCCTCGTCTGGCGATTTCGGTTCATCATATGTTTGATGCATGCTTCCTCATTTGGCGATTCCGGTTCGTTACAGTTCGTAGACACGCCCCCTCATCGGCCATTCCGGTTCATCACCCCCCTCCTTATCGATTCAGTCATCATATGTCTCAAACCCGCTCCCTCATGTGGCGATTCCGGTTCATCATAGATCTTGAACACGCGCCTCTTTGGCGATTCCAGTCATCCTATGGCCGTTGCAGTTCGTCCTGAAACTTAAACACGCCGCCTCCTTTGGCGGTTCATTCCAGTCATAATATGTCATACACACGCCCCCGCATTTGGCGATTCGGTTCTTATTCATAGATCTTAAACAGGTTCCCTCCTTTGGCGATTCCAGTCCTCCTATGTCTTAAATACGCCGCCTCATTTGGCGATTCCGTTCATCACTTGCCACGAAAAACAGTACATGATAAGCCGAAGGGTCCACGAAGTCCGCGATGGGAAGCGCGAAACACAATTGTTTGGAGCACCGAAAGCTCGGAACCTCTAAGAGAAGGCATGAGCTCGTGTGGGGACCGATGTTATTTGCACATGCCCCCAAGCGACCTTAAGCTTTAGCATCCCCGAGTGATAAGATTTGTTTGTCCAACACCTGAGAGGCTGCATTTGCTGCGCACGCACCGCGGTCTTGGCTGCGTTGACGGAGGAACAGTTGCGTGGCTCCAGAGATTAGCGCAGGAAACGAGCTTTTGCACAAGCAGGATTTCTAGTTCTGCTTCGGATTGTACGTGCACTGACCTTGCTTCTTTTTCAGCACAGAGTTGCTAGAGGGCCGTGTGATTCTGCCATCGTTGCAACGTAGCATGGCTAAGGTTCCGCACCTGGCATGCTCGGCTTTTGCTGCTAGATCGGTGCTTTGGCAAGAATGGATTCGGTGTATCCGTGCTTGGCTTGAGTGCTTTTTCAGGAAAGTGGGTCTCGTGATATCCAGCGGCGCTGTCCCGTTTGCCACAGCTGCAGCATCAGAAGAGGAGGAGCTCCTGAACTGCATTGTGAGTCGTAGTTCTTGAAAAACAAATCACAAAAGACGAACTTGCTGGAACCATCCAAGATCATGTCTTCTCCTTGTGTCTGCCTCCCTCCTTGCACGGCTTCAGTCGGATGCGATTGGTAAGGCTGCGTGCGTGAACAGGTCACTCCGAGTTTCTTCCAGCACGATGAGACGTCGCAGGCTGCTGTTGGATTGGGTTCGGGCAGAGTTCGCTGACAGAGTGGATGCCAGAGCAGTTGAGGCTCCGGCTCGATTACTTCTCGGTCGCTGGTTTGATGAGCGAAGTGTTGAGGTGCGCTGTGGTTAGAGTGAGCTAGTGCTCGGTGCGCTTGGTCAGAGTCCACACTTGAGACTTGCGACAGGGCGCCTTGGCATCATAGTTCCGCTGGATGCATGCAGGCATCGGCCGCTAACGCTCCAAGACACGCAATCACCAGGTTGCAGTGACAGCGAAACCCTAGCATGCACCCCGCTTGGCAGGCTGAGAAGATCTCGGAACTGCGTGCAGTCCAGAGGGCACAAGTGGCTGAGTTCGTGGCGGCCGTCACTGCAGCTGATCAGGCAGCAGGGGGGGCCGTGGTGTTGAGTTCATGACTCTGTTTTCGAGAGGCTCGGTCTTGAACTTTCTGCAAGTCGGTTGGTGTTTCGGGTGAGAGGGGCAAACTTCATGTTTTCATCAAAAATCTTGCTGAAGCCATGTGGGGACGGCGGTGCCCTTAAAGGCTGTTCGTGTTGCGGCATGCGTGGATGTTTGGCCATCTGCTTTGCACAGGAAGCAATCGTGAGGAGCGCCCTTGCAACACGCTGGGCTTAGAGCATTTGTCCGCCATTTGAATCTTTCAGCCGGGCCTTCGATGCTTCAG